GGGGGGGGGGGGGGGGGGGGGGGGGAGCCCAAGCCAGGGACCGCACGCACCGGTCCAGATGCAGCCCGGTCCACCGGGGCGCAGGTCCTCCGAGTAGGCCATTTGCAGAACGGCCCCGGCGTGAGCCTTGAAGGTGGCCAGACAGACATAGGTCTGGCAGGCGGGGGACAAGCGTGTCAGCAGATCGTCCCGGAGGGGGAGGGGCCAAAAGAGGCCCACCAACGGCAAACAAGCAAGCGGCCTTCCCCGCTGGCAGGGTGTCGATGGGGCACATACGGATGGGTGCCACACGCGAATACGGCCGTCCAAACTCCCGGTCCACACGAAGCCGGCAATCGGGGGATACCGGCCGGCCGACGGGCGGCTCGGCCCCCGTCGCGGCGTCCCGGGGCCCCCATCCACCTCGGCCTGGGGCACCAGCGAGGCGACGGACGAGCCGAACTCATCGGCCGGCTCCATGATGTCCGTCGCATTGACCGAGCGATCGGCCGGCACCCACAGGAAGCAGGCGACATCGAGGCGCTCGCCGGCCGGGTCGATCAGCCGCCGCTCGAGAGTGCCATCCTGCGCGAGTGCGCGCGCACGAGAGAGAGAGAGACAGGGAGAAGGGGGGCACGATGGGAGGCAGGGCAAGGACGGAGGAAGGCGGCGAGGAAAAGAGAAAGACAGAGGAGGGGAGCACAGCAAGACGGCAGCCCGAGTCAGTAATCCCCGGGAGCAGGGGCGGAAAGGGCCGCGAGGGTGGGCCCCGGGCCCCGGGCCCCGGGATACGGTGGCCAGGTGACGGGAAGGCGCACCTTGGCACTGAGGATCTCGATGGATCGGCCACAGCGAGACGCCGTCCAGACGGCTTGAGCATCGCCCCCGGCGGCGCTCGGCATGCGGAAGCTCAGCGCGCAGCGGCCCGGGCGGGCCGTCTTGCGCGGGACCACCCCCAGGTACTTCGGGCCGAAGGGCCACGCCGAGTCGCCGGCCGGGCCGCGGCCCACTTGCGCTGCGGGATTCATGCTGGCGGGATCTCGCTGCCCCCGGGCCGCCAGCGACAGGCGGCTCAGCTCCGAGGGGGGCCTTCGTGAGGCCCGCAGGGAGGAGGCAGGGCTGGCAGGGACCCCGGCCCCGGCCCCGGCCCCGGCCCCGGCGCTGGTGATGGCTGCCCCGGGGCGAGCGGGGGTCGGCGCCCGCCGGGAGGCCTCGGCGTGAGTGGGCCGACGCGGGGTCAGGGGGGCTGCCGAGCCAACAGCACTGACGGTGGCCGATGATGCCGCGGCGCCGACCGCAGGGCCGGGCGCCATGGTGGGAAGCGGCTCGGCCAATGAGGCCAATCGGTCGGTGGAGGGCTCCGGGGCCGTCGGCGATGCCGGGGACGCCGGGGCCAGGGGGTCGACGCGTGTCGGCAGCGGGAGGCCGGTCGGCAGGTCCGGGCCGAGGCCCACCGCCAGGGACACCAGGTCCTTCAGCGGCCAAGCCGGGGCGAGGGGGCTGAAGTCGCTTGATCGCACCGGGATCCGACTGTCACCCACGGAGGGGGGAGGCTCATCGTCGCCGACGGGCAGCGAGCCCGATGGGGCACTCATGTTGACTGGCGGCGAATGGGCGCGCGCGCGCGCCACAGCAAACCCAAGGTCGAGGGGGTGGCCAGGGGGAGGGCAAAGGGAGCACCGACCCGGAGAGGAGGATGGAAAGCGAGGGATGGGGGAGGGGCGAGGAGGAGGAGGAGGAGGAGGAGGAGGAGGAGGAGGAGGAGGAGAGCCGTGGCATGGGGCAGCCGCGCGCGCTTGCGGCGGCCCGGGGCTCCCCCTCTCCCCGAAGAAGCTCGCCCACACGGTGCCGACGACGCGCATTAGCCGCCGGGCAGGGAGAGACGCCGGGGCCCGGAGGCCCGCCAGCACAGGGCCCCAGGTGCAGGCGGGGAGGCCAGGGCACCCGCCCGCGGCATGCGCGCGCGCGCGCCGAAAAAAAAAAAAACAACACACACACTCGCGCAGGCACACGCGCAGCACAGTCGGGCCCTACCGAGGAGGCGCCCAACCGGGGGATCCCGGTGTGCTTTTCCCCGCCCCTCCCCGCCGGAAGTCCGAGCGAGGGCGATGATCGCCCGCCGGCCGGCACAAGCCATGGTGTGTGGTCCGGGCCGGGCGCCGCCCGGGGGCGGCGCACCAGCTGCCGATGGACCAGTCTCTCCGGAATAGGCAACGCATTGGCCCGGGCATACCGAAAATGGGAATCAGGAATGCATGCCAGGGCCCTCGCCGGCGGCGCGCCGACGTCGCCGCAGGCAAGGTTCCGCGCGAGGCACACGCCGAGAAGTGCGGCGCACGCCCGGCCGAGCGCCAGTGGAGGCGCATGAATCGCCATCACCATTGCGAAGGATGCCCCCGCCGCCGGAGCCTGCTGGTCCAAGTTCAGCCGCCCGTAGGAAGGGATACAATCGAAGGGACCCCCATCGGTGCCTGTCTGGCCAGGCTGCCATCCAGGCCCGACCCCGCCCGGCAGCGGCATGCCGCTGCCGGGCGGGCTACCCTCGCTTGCAGGCCCCACAGTCCGGGCCCGGCGCAGATCCGCAGACAGGCTCCCGTGACGGGAGGCGCCAAATGTGGGACGCCTCCAGCGTCGGCACTTCACGCCTCCAACGGCCCCACGTGCCCGGCCCTCTGCCCGACACTCCTCGCGTGAGGGAATGCAGTTTAGCCTGGCGGGCCCGTCTGCCGGCCCGGCCGTAACTCAAAGGAGCGCCCAGTTTACGAGGCAGGGCCCAGCTTTTGGCCGCCCCCGCCCCACCCCCCTGCCCGGGAGCACATCCAGCACGCCGGGACCATGCCAGGGCGAGGAGGCCTTGCCCGGCACCCGGGCAGGGAAAGCGTGCACGGGAGCCCGGCAACCGTGCCGGCGGGACTCGGCCCGGGGAAGGTCCATGGGCAAGGAAGGGGCTGGGGGGAGGTCATCAGGGTCTATGGGAATGTATATTGGGGCGCGCGAGGTGCTGTGGTGATGTGCCCACACAGACACACAGACACACACACACAAGCACACAAGCACACACGCCCGTCGATCAGCCCCTCCGGGATGACCAGGGGTCGCTCTCATCGAAGGGGGAGGATGCCGGTGACGAGGCTGCTGCCGGCGGGAACAGCGGTTCGTAGTCCGCCGGGGAGGCGGCGCCGGGGCCCGGCGCGGATCGGTCCCCGAAGCCGGGAGTGTGTCTGAAGCTGTAAGTTGAGTACCGGCGCACGGTATAGTCGTCGGTGCTGCCATTCGGGGACCCGGCGGCAGAGGGCAGGCCCCCGAAGACCCCGACGCCGAACCCCGGTGGCAGATCCAGCTCGCCGCTGGTCGAGGAGGTGCCCCCGCTGCCCAGGGGGATGGAGTTGCTGGCGCCGTCGATGCCGGTGCTGCTGGAGCCGGTGCTGCCGCCGCCGCCGCCGCCGCCGCCGCCGCCGCCGGAGAGGGAAGGGTGGTAGGGCCCGGCGACGGCGGCCCCGGCCCCGGCGGCAGCGCCGACGCCCCCGACCGAAGGAACAATGGCCGCCGACCCGGCACTCGGGGGCGACTGGGCCACCCGCTCCATGATGCGCACCAGGCGCCAGGAGATGACAGCCACCGACATGAAGAGCAGGCTGCTGACCACCACAAAGAGGGTCCCATTGTTGTTGAGGACCGGCACCGTGTGCGCCGAGGTGGAGGCCGCCTGGTGGAGGACATCCAGCACGGACGACGTCGAGGCCGAGGTCCCGATCGGGGGTGTTGGGGCGCCGGCCGCGGCCGCCCGGTCCAGGGCGGCATGGATCTGCGACGTGACGTCCGCATAGCCGGCGGGGCTGGCCCCGGCCGGCACGGGGGGGCCGGCCTGGCCCGCGGCCGGCCCCGGCAGGGCAATGCTCTCGGAGCTGCCAGTCCGGTGTGAAAAGAGGGCGGCCTCCTGCGCGGAGAGGGTCGTGTAGGAGGCCGGGGTTTCCGTGAGGAAGGGGACCGTGCCGTGGCCGAAGGCATCGGCGTGTGCATGGTCCGGGCGCTCGTGCCCGGTGAGGGGGATCTCCAGGTTCATGCCGAAGAGGCCGGCCCCGAGGGCGCCGCACCCGACGGCGAAGGTCCCGATGGCCAGGCGAAGCTCCAGCAGGAGCAGGCTATTCCGCTGCGAGTCCAGCTCGATGCGCACGATCGACTGGGTCGACCGGATGTTGGAGATCATCTCGGTCACGGCATTGGCCAGCTCCTCAATTTGCTTGGTGTAAAACTCGAACATGAATTCCACATCCTCGTGCACATCCACCGGCTGCGCCTTGCCGGATTGCGCGCGCACCGTCAAGTACATGCCGGCCCTGTGGGCATGCGCGGGCGAGGGGCGGAGGGAGGGGCCAGGAGGGTGCATTGTGATGCGCATCCCGTGCAAGCAGGGTCACATGGTGAGACGTGGCACGAGGGCGAGAGGCAGGCGCAGGCGGAGAGACAGGCAAGGGGAAGGAAGGAAAGGCCCAAGGCCGACAAGGCGAGGCCGCATGGAGGAGGCAGACCCCCCCTGCACGCACATGTCATCATTGGCATTGAGGATGTCCATCAGGGACGCCTGCACCGCATTGAGGCGGGCCTCAAAGCGAGTGAGCCGCTTGCTGAGCTCCAGCACCTGCACCAGGAGCACGCGGTCGGTGCTGCCTGCCAGGCGCCGGAGCAGGGCATGCCCCTTCGGGGCAAACTGGTTGTACTGGTCCCGCAGGCTGAGGGTCACACTCTCCAGGATGGCCTCCAGGGCTCGGAGCTCGTATGGCAGGGGGTCGGAGTTGAAGGATTCGAAGGCCTGCGGCTGGCTGGGGTCCGGCTCGCTCAGGCGCTGCCGCAGGTCGGCCATCAGTCGGAGCTGCGCGTGGCGCGTCGAGCTGTCCATCGGGTCGAAGAGCAGCACGCAGTTGTGCTTGATGAGGGCCTTGGCATGCTCGATGTTGACGATGATGGCATTTGACTGTGGCCCGGGGTTAGGCGCCTGCAGCATGGGTGGCAAAGCAGGGGGGGGGGAATCGGCCAGCCGGGGAGGCGTGGCCGAGGACGCACTCGAACGAGGATAGATGGAGCCTGATCGCGGTAGGAGTTGATCTGGGCGCGGTATCGATGGGGCCAGACGGTTAGCACCCGGGCCGAGTGGCCCTCGCACGGGCAGGCACACGCAATGGCGGGGGTGGGGTGGGGTGGGGGGGAAGGGACGCACTGTGCGCAAGTCGCGCGGCCGCAGGCCGTGAATCGAGCAGAGGTCCGACTTGGCGTAGAGGGAGAAGCTGTCAGCCATGCGACCGGCCGCATCGAATTCGATGGTCCGCAGGGTGATGCCCAGTCGCCGGGCCTGTGCCGCGCGAGCCGAGGAGAGTGACGACTCCGGGGCCGCCGAGTTGGGACCGACTCGGTCCCCGGCCGGTGGGGATGTGCCGGAGGCATGTCTGTTGGCAGGGTTCAGGGGGGCATTCCCATACGGTGGCCGGGGGGCGGCGTCAGTGCCGGTGTGGGTGTGGGCGGCGGCCCCTGCGTCGGGACGGCCGGCCCCGACGCCGGCCGAGGCACCGGCAGCCGCGCCGGCACTGCCACCGAAGCGCCCACCGCTATCGAGGTGCTGCGACAGCGAGTATGCATTGGCCGAGAAGGAGGCCATGTGCCCACCACCGGGGCTGCCACCCAGCCCGGCCAGCGAGTAGCCAAAGGCCGGGGAAAAGTCGATGCCACGCGGGTCGTTGGGGCGTTGGTCGAAGGGGAGGTTCAGGCGCGAGGGGGAGGCTTTCTCTGCGGAGTCGGCAATGTGCCATGTGAAGAGGGGACGAAGGGGTTGTGTGTGTGTGTGTGCGCGCGCGCGCGTCGAAAGGGTGTCAGACGGGATCGGGGATCGGGGATCGGGGATGGGGGGGGGGGGGGGACAGCGGGGAGCATGGGGCGCCGAGTGGCCGCATGTACCGGAGCGTGAGGAGGGGATGGCCCGGGCGGTCCGGTGGTCGGCCGCGCGAACGGCGGAATAGTGGCCGCGCCGACTTTGCAGACTGCGCTCGTAGGCCAGATGGATGCTGTACCCGTCATTGAGGGGAGACAGGGACCGCTCATCGGGGAAGGAGGAGGGCACATCGAAGAAGGGCTGCGGCGGGTGGGAGATCCCGCCGGCCGAGCCGACGCCGGCCGCGTTGCCATACTGCCCGTAGCCCGGGCCGCCGGCAGGGCCCCAGTTTTCCGACACAGGGGCCGGCTGGCCGCCATCCAGCAGCGTGGACCAAAGCGACGGGCCGGGGGCCAGGCCGAGGCCGATGCCCCGCCCGGAGATGGCGGCCGCCGACCGGCCAAAGAGGCTGTGCGTCGGGTATTCCTGCCCGGAGTTGAACAGGCGCCGGAGGGACCGCCGGAGGCGAAAGCCCAGAGGCAGCTGCCGTGGAAGCCGGATCGGCCGGTCGGGCTGGTCGAGCTTCACCCCGGGCGGCGGGGGTGGCGGAGGCGGCGGCACCGGCGACGAGGAGGTCGAGGCCCCGGGCAGAGATCCGACACCCGAGGCGAAGGTGCGTCGCGCAGCGCCGGCCGTGATGCCGCTGGCGGGCGGCCGCCAGGCCAGCGATGGGGATGGTCGCGGCGCGATGACGGCGGCAATCGAGCGAGGGGCCTCACGGGCGGCGCGCAGCATCGGGCGAAGGTGTGCAAGGCAAGCGGGACAGAGGAGGGGAGGAGGAGGGAGGGGGCGGGGGAGGGAAGGCTTGGAAGGGGAGATGTGCGTCCGGCCGGCGCCTGTGGGCAAGCGAAGAGGAGCCCGTTGATGGGGGCGGCTCCTGAAGGGCGGGGGGCGGGGGGCGAGAGAGGCGCGCGGGAGGGGCGACGAGCGGCGCGGGCAGGGGCGGAAGGGCGAGGTAGGGGGGGGAGGGGCGTTCTGCCGGTGGCCACCGCCGGCCAGGTACGACGAGGGATCCCCGAAAAGAGAGGCGCGTCGGGGAGCGCGGTTCCGGGGGGGGGGGCGTCCGGCAGGCTCGGAGCGTTCTGGCTTGTTTCCGGCGGCCAGGGCCCGGGGGCCGGAGCTGCGGGGAGGAGAAGGAGGAGGCAGTCGACCGGAGGCCCCCCCGGAGGGGGCTGTCCTGGGCGATCGAGATTTTTCCCCCGGCCCCAGGGGACGCAGGTGCAAGGGAGCCAGGGGTGCCCCGACGGCGCGTGCCTTCTCGCGCGCGCGCGCGCGCGAGGGACAGAGAGGCCGAGAAAGCCCCCTGCCGGGGGGCGCGCCGGGGGGAAGAAGCATGGCCATCGGAGCAACGGCGGCGAGAAGGGCCACGAGAAAATGCCGGCCCTCAGCGGGGCCACCTGCCCGGGAGGGCGGCCAAGGGCCGTCCGGTCGGGAGCCCAGTCAATCTGGGAACCGGAGGCCGGGCGGGCTGGCCGGGCGGGGTGGCCGCGGCCCGTTGCCCGGTGGGTGACCGCCCGGCGCCCCACTCAGAAGGGGGGGGGGACGACGGGACGGGGGGCGCCGCGCCTGGCCAAGCACATGGGCGACTTGGGCACCAGGAGGAATATCGATCCATCTGTGCGCTGGCGGTCCCAGGCCGGTCGATCCCCCCCCCCCCCCCCCGCCGCCATTCTGTCGAGCACGGCCCCGGCAGCCCCTCTGGGAGCGTGTGTCCGGCAGGCACTAGGGCCTCGCTCTCTCCCTCTGTCGGTGGAGGGGCGTGTGACCGCGGGGGATCACCCCCCGATGTGCTCACGCCCCGGAGGCGGGGATGTCGCGTGATCCCCGAGGCGCAACTGAAGCTTAGTCCCGCCTCGAGCCAATGACTAGGGCTCCCTGCGTGTGTGTATGTGTGTGCAGGGGGGGGGGGGGGGGGGCCAGGGGGGGCAGCAGAAGGGATCCATGGTCAGATGG